TCTTCCAGCAGTTGGGTTACTTCAACCTATTGCTGCAATTAAGCCGAAAGTGGGTCTACTATGTCTGTTGATGAGAAAAGGAGGATGGATCAATTCTAAAAGTTAGATCCTCCATGTTTTAATGGTGATCCCACATCGAATGCTCAATATTTCTTAGATAGGTGTCATGAGATTTTGCACAATTTGGATCTTGTGGAGTCCAATGGAGCTAATTTCACTACGTTTTTGTTAAGAGGGGGCACTAAGAGATGGTGGGAGACTTATGAGCAGAGCATGTCAATAGGGTCACTTCCTCTTACTTGAACTCAGTTTTCGACTCTCTTTCTATAAAAGTTCATCCCACTTACTTGGAGAGACGAGTTGCATATTCAATTTGAGCAATTACAGAAAGATATATTCAGTATGAGATAAGGTTCAAAGAGTTGTCACGTAATGCGACTTTTTTTATTTCCTCTGAGAAGGAGAGTATGGAGATTTATTGACGGTCTCAATTAGGGTATCAAGTATGGTATCGCACGAGATGTTGAGATTGAGACTAGCTTCCACCAGGCTGTGGAGATTACTAGGAGGTTCGAGAGTATTTGCAGGCAGGAAAGAGAGGCTAAGAAGCCTCATGGGACTGGAGGATTTAGTGGTGCCTACTCTATAGGAAATGGCCAATATGGTAGATGCCATCGTAGTAGGCCAGTTCAATCAACACTCCAGACTTCTCATAATGCTCCAGTTATCCATAGGTTTTAGAGTGCTCGTTAAAGACAATCATCATACGCTGCACCTTCCGTACATGGTTCGTATATTGCATCTCTAGGGAAAGGTTCTTTTAGTGGTAATTTTGGTAATAAGAGGAAGACTCATTCCTAGTAGCCATACAAGTAGAGAGGTTTCTATGAGTGTGGATATTCCAGATATATGAGAAGGGATTGTCCTGGGCTTCAGAGTGGTATATCTCAGCGGGGTACTCATGTTATGATTCCTGCCCCAGTTGCTATACTACATGCCGAGCCAGCTAGAGATACATGTCATCTAGTTAGAGGTCATCATAGATGAGAAGGACAGACAACTAAAGGACATGCTCATTGTTATGCTTTTCCTAGCAGACTTGAGGAAGTGGCATCTAATTCAGTCATTACATGTATTGTCTTAGTCTGTCATAGAGATGCTTCAATATTTTTTAATTCGGGTTCTACTTATTTGTATGCATCATCTTACTTTATGTCATACTAGTATTAGTACCCGCGCGGATGCGGGGACACTAATCATGTCAAATATTTAAGTTATTTGGATTGTATGTAAATAATCTTAAAATTTACACTTTTTCAGTAAATATAGATAATCATTGGATATTAACTGCATGAAAAAAAATTAACCATTTCTTCTATTTTCTTTTTCGATACCATTCTTGCCGGTGTCATTGGATCTTAAAAATAGTCAGGAAGCAAAATAATAACTCATATTTATGGCAAAACAATTAAATGTTGAGGCAATGAATGACTTTTTGGATAAGACTTAACTCTTTTACTATTAGTTGAACTCTTATTTGGTGTGTTGACATCTCTTAAAAAATATTTCTTTCTTAAAATTTCAGTTTCTAAAATAATATTTTTAAATGTAATTGAAAATATTATTCTTAATTCAAAACTCATTTTAGTTGGCTATCTAAAAATATAAAAAATCTTTAGCTAGTGAATTGTTTTACTCCATTTTGATATTTGATATTAACCATGTTAAATATCTGAGTTATTTGAATTATATGTAAATAACCTTAACATTTAAACCTTCTAAATAATTAAAATAATCATTAGATATTAATTAAGAAACACACATGAAAAAAGACCAACATTTTCTCAGTTCTCGTAGTGATAATTTTATTTTTGCACTATTTTCATAGGTGTCATTGAAACCTAAAAATAGNTATATATATATATATAAAATAATAATAATAATAATGATTATCTTTACAATGATGCAAGTGAAGATATTATCTTTAATTTAAAGTTTTTTTTAATCGGCCATCTAAAAATTTAAATGATTCTTTAGCCGGATCTATTTTAGTACGACTCCACTTTAAATTTATCGATATTTCTAGCCCCAGAATTTTAACTATAATGGATATAATACAATGGTTGATCTTTTGGTTTTGGACTTGGTGGACTTTGAGGTGCTTCTTGACATGTATTGGTCAAAGACTATGACTTTAACTATGCTAGGTTTCGTAGCACCACCTCTTTGCACCATTTTCTCAAGGACAAGCAAGTGGAGATTATTATAATGACTAGCGTTGATGCTCTCAAATAAGGATGACTAGGATAAAACAAAAGCAATAACCCTACTATGCTCCGATATATCCAATCTCACTAACATGTTGGCCAAGGACTGAATCCATAGCCAAAGGCCTCTCCCCAACTGGAACAACCTAATGAAAGTTTAAAAATTCCGACTTATATATTTGATGCCGAAACATATCAAATCAAGCTCGATTGACCTTAAATTTTGCACACAAGTCATAAATGACATAACAGACCTATTAAAATTTTGGGAACAAAAATCTAAGCCTGATAACTACAAAGTCAACTCTCGGTCAAACTTCTAAATTTCTAAAACTTTTAATTTTTCAACTTTCGCCGTTTCAAGCGAAATACAACCTCGGACCTCCAAATAAATATCCAGACACACTACTAAGTCCAAAATAAACATATGGAGCTATTGGAATCATCAAAACTCTATTCTGGGTTGTTTACACATAAGTCAACATCAATTAGTATCCAAAGTAGTCCAAAATGATCCTATAATAATCCCAATCAAATATACTAACAAGTCTTAAAACACGATACAAACTTAGTCAAGGCCTCAATTTCCATCAAACTATGCTAAAACCATGAATCGTGCCCCAATTCAAGTCGAATGAAAGTTATGAAATTCCGACATCTACGTTCGATGTCGAAACATATCAAATCAAGTCCGATTGACCTAAAATTTTGCACACAATTCATAAATAATATAACGGACCTATTGATGTTTTCGAAACAAAAATCCATGCCTGATAACCACAAAGTCAACTCTCGGTCAAACTTCTAAATTTCTAAAACTTCTGATTTTTCAACTTTTGTCGTTTCAAGCCAAATTCAACTACGGACCTCCAAATAAATATTCAGACACACTCCTAAGTTTAAAATCACCATACGGAGCTACTTGAGTCATCAAACTCTATTCCGGGGTTGTTTACACATAATTCAACATCAATCACCATCCAAAGTAGCCCAAAATGATCCGATAACACTCAAAACACACCCGAGGCCCGTAGGACCTCAACCAAATATATCAACAAGTCCTAAAATACGATACAAATTTAGTCGTGCCCTCAATTCACATCAAACTATGCTAAAATCACGAATCACACTCCAATTCAAGCCTAATGAAAGTTTAGAAATTCGGACTACAATATTCGATGCCGAAACATATCAAATCAAGTCCGATTGATCTTAAATTTTGCACACAAGTCATAAATGAAAATAACGGACCTATTAAAATTTTCGGAACTAAAATCTGAACCCGATAACCATAAAGTTAACTCTCGGTCAAACTTCTATTTTTCTAAAACTTCTAATTTTGAAACTTTCGTCGTTTCAACCCAAATTCAACTACAGACCTCCAAATAAATATTCGGATATACTCCTTAGTCCAAAATAACCATATGGAGCTATTGAAATCATCAAAACTCTATTTTGGGGTTATTTACACATAAGTCAACATCAATCAACATCCAAAGTAGCCGAGAATGATCTGATAACACCCAAAACACACGAGGCCCCGGGATCCCAACCAAATATACTAACAAGTCCTAAAACACGATACGAACTTAGTCGAGGCCTCAATTCACATCAAAATACGCTAAAATCACTAATCGCACCCCAATTCAAGCCTAATGAAAGTTATGAAATTCCGACATCTACATTCGATGCCGAAACATATCTAATAAAGTCCAATTGACAAAAAATTTTGCACACAATTTATAAAAAATATGACGGACCTATTGAAATTTTCGGAACCAAAATCTGAGCCCTATAACCACAAAGTCAACTCTCGGTCAAACTTCTAAATTTCTAAACTTCTAATTTTCCAACTTTCGCCGTTTCAAGCCAAATTGAACTACGGACCTCCAAATAAATATCCGGACACTCTCCTAAGTCCAAAATTACCATATGGAGCTGTTGAAATTATCAAAACTCTAGTCCGGAGTCGTTTATACATTCAATATCCGGTCAACCTTTTTAAATTAAGCTTCCAACCTTGAGACTATGTGTCTCAACTCAATCCGAAATATTCCCGGAACCAAACCAACTACCCCGAAAAGTCACATAACAATAATTGAACATATGAAAAAGCAGTAAATGGGGGAATGAGACTATAATACTCAAAACTACCTGCCGGGTTGTTACATCTTTCGAGCCAACCCAGAAAAAGTTTAGCTTCGGTTGAGCAAGGTCAACCTCCACTTGAAACCTTTGCCACCCTAGGTGGTCTGTGGCCATGTCCATGAAAAGTGGTGTTCTTGTAGGACCAACAATTTGCTTGATATAGGACCAACAATTTGCAATGAAAAGGCAATTCAGGTAAAAGCACCCACTGGAACTATGGGGGTATCCTAATTCGGTTTGAAATTCGGAGTCTATTTTTACAACCACACAATTTGTCCTTTAATATTTAAAGACCGTAAGTCATAGACTCCAACAATAGCATTATCTTTTACATAGATGTTTTTAGCAGATTCCCGACTGAGTCATCTCAATTTGTGGCCGATTTCTCAAGAACATCCCCACGATTGCCATTTAACATTCATCGGCCATGACCCCATAGTAGCAGTCGCTAGCTTTGCAGATAATTATTGACTTATTGTCATGCAAAAATCGTACCTTTGAATTAGTCATGAAGATTAAATATTTACTGGCAACTGCAAATCTTTTATGTATTGTATTACAGATTTAAGCGAAACATCAGAATTTTCAAAAAAAGAAACCCTTCTATACACATATAATGAAAGATGCAATGAAAGGAAAAGACGTACATTATTTTCTATAAAAAAAATAAAAACTCCTTAAATATATAACTATGAATAGTAAATCAAACAGACTCAATGTGCGTTGTTGCCATCTCAGTTTTTGGACTTTTGTTCTTCTGCTTCTTTGTTTGTCTGAACTCTCCATAAAAGTATGAGACGAAGCCCCAAAGAGAAAGGAAAAGCGCAAGGCCCTTTTCACCCGAAAAATTTTCCCTAAAGAAAACTACAGCTAATACCTCAGTAACAGGAAGTAAAACTGCGATCATAACCCCAGACATTAAAGAGGAAGAGCAGTAAATGACTCCAATGACACCCACAAAGAAACACTGCCAAATAATAGTAGTCCATACTACCACCGTATAATATCTAGCTTCTCCAAGGTTAAATTGTTTTGCCTCCCTTGATATTGCCTGCAAATTTCGATCAATATCTTAATCCTTAATAGTTCTTTAAAAAGATTGTCTGTAGCTATAACAAAATTGAAACCGAGAAAGTATCTATGGTACAACATTTTCAGGCAAATATGTTCGAATCTATTACTGCTCCAGTTTTCAAATACTTCTGACATATCCTAGTTTAATTAACACGTAATATACGTAAAATATTCTAATCAAACCAAACCCACGTTATTGATGTGTATTCCAAACTAAAAAATGTATTACAATGACAAAAGTTTTTCAACCCATGTTCACAATTCATCACAGGCTTTTGTCCTACCTCTTGTCATTAAGACCAGAAAACTTTACGGGAAATGAAATATGACGAAATAAACGAGTGAAAAAAATAAAAGTTTCAAACGAATATAAGAAATCCTAAAGGATGGACTATTAATTGATTGTTGGTGAACGTCAGTAGATCATCCAAAGAAGGTTGATATATAGACGTTCAATATGAAGGCCTTATGGATTTGATGGTAATTAATACCAAATGAGAGAAATATGTTACCCTTTCCGATTCAATTTAATTTATCTTGTCACGAAATTTAAGAAAAAAAACTAGATTATATTTACGACATTTCGGTCTAAAACATGTTATAAAATATTTGTTTGTCTTTAAAACTTTTTAAACTTATGATTTTAAACTTGTATAACATTCTGTAGTTATAAAAATCTTCTTATTATGCGGGAAACAAGAAATTTAATGTTAAATACTTTCAAATGCAGAACTGTGTCGATTAATTTGAAACAGGCTACTACGAAAAAGATTCAAATTATAGGTTATAAATTATTATTACTATTGTTTTTTGCTATCAAGTTATCAATTAATATATCATAATATTTTCCTCTAATTTTCTTGTAAATGACTCGATTGTATAGACAAATTTAACTTGAGGATGTATAGAATTTAAATCCACAAAAAATAGTGTAACATAAACTGCAACATGGAGTAAGATGCTTGGATACTGATATTTAAGGGAAAAAAATACCTGAAAGTCATTATTGGCGATCATTCCTACCGTGCAAAAAGCAGTAGCAGCAAAACACATGACCATTTGAATCTCCAAAACTAACGTAGCAGTAATAGCTTGCTTTGCCTTCAAGTAAATCAACTCAATACAAGGCAAAATGACTCCATATAAAGCTGCTGCCAGAAGTGTCATCATAAAACCAATAATATAGGCTTTACTTGTCACACCCTCTGGCCGATCACCATTAGATCGAACACCTAATAAAACAGCACCAAGTGTCAGCAGAACTACTGCATTGATAGAGTATGGTGTGAACTTTAGCTTCACTATGAAGAAAGCACCTATTGCAGTGAAGGCAAGTTGAGCAGCAAGGAGAAGTGAAGAGGTTGATACGGGAAGTTTTGACCCGCCCCACGAATAAAGAAAATCATCAAGACCAGTTACAAAGCCAATGATGAAAGATGCGATGAAAATTCGGGGTGTTATCAAGTAGTACTTGGCATTGATGCCTTCGGTTTTTCGACGATTGAAGTATAGGATGGCAAGAGGTATAAAGGTGAATGGCCATCCAGCCGTTTGTAACCAACTACTAAACCATACTCTTGAACCTCCCTCGACATAATATAAACGCATCATTAGAGGGCCGCCGCAGATACCAATCGCGAGTATTAAACAGTTAATCAGCAGGAGGATTCTCCTCATAGTGGTGCTTAATCCTTGATGTTCCATACTTTTTTTCAAGAGATTTGGATACTAAGTTGGAGTAACCTGCTGCTCAGGCTGAAGGTTTTCTTCTTCTACTAAGGTTTGGATTTTTGGACCTGTTGCAGCGATGAGATCTGTACCTTGCTATTTATAATTGAGAAACAACTTAGTACATTCCCATGATTTGTTTCACTACATGGAGTGACCCCACTTTAAGAAGGCTTTCTTATGATTTAATTAGTTGCGGTACTATTAACTTTCATATGATTCACAAGGGAAGGATATAACAATAAAAAACTATTATAGCAAAGACCAAAAAAGCTAAGGATGGTGAGTAGTTTTGTTATTAAATTGCAGCGTTGAATTTTGCTTTTGCACTAATGAAGACAAAAATATGGATTAAAATTAACAAGGATGGGACAAACGTGGGTTTAGTTAAGAATTGAATAATTATGAGTGGGTCGGTAGAATTTTGCAATTCCACTTTTGAAGAGAAACACATGATCAGTCACCCATAAACTTAACGTGGGTTTTAGTTAAATTGTTCGAATTCAATAACAGCTTTTCTTATATGAAAGCGTGTCCAGAACCAGAAAGGATCCCCTCCGTTTCGTCTATGTGCACTTTTAAATGTTTCAATTGCCGCCGCAAATAAATGTGAGACATGTTTATAACAAGACCAATAATAAAAAAAAAAAAGAAATTAAGAAAAAGTAAATCAAATTTGGATGGCGTCTTGGTTTTTTGTTTGATTCATGTGCTAAAAGACGCCAGAGTGTTAAGACACAGCTGTTCAGCAATGTTGTACCTTTAAAAATATTAGAAGCAATAGGGGTGTCCATGAAACCTTATATTCTTTAACTCGTAAAGTATGGTCACACAAATTAGTGAATTTTGAAATAATATTTTATATAATTTAATCGAGATATATAGAAGAGTTATTATTTATTATATATTTCCATGAAAAATGATTCTATCTTGGCTACATTACAAATAAAAACAGTTTTAAGTGAATTAGAGCTTAGATGAATTATAAGACTTTCTTTTACAATGATGAAAAAGAAAAGAACTTTAAAGGAATTTTTTTATTTATAGATATACGAATATACATGATTTTACTACATGATTCTCTAAGCGTAGCATATACTAAATATATCTATTTAGGTATTTATATATTCTTTTCCCTCTATTTGTTCATAAAAGATTAATATTAATCGTCTTGATGAAGTCTAAAAGCAAGAACAAAAACAGAGTTACAAATTTATTTTCTTTTGAAATGAAAAACAAAAAGTGCATAATTTTAGACTTGCGACAATGCTAATTATGGTAACATCTTGAACCTTTAATGGTTAAATTTACTTGATGTATCTTTAATCATCTTGTAGTGACCTGATAGGTCATCTAGAGATTTAACCCTTAATTCTGTATTTTGAAACCTCAAACAACTCCTATTAGCCTTTCTCAGTTACGTGTTCAGTCCGTGTCTTTTTCCGAAAAGTTTTTATGTAAAAAATTGATTAAAATATGAATTCGTACCTTAAAAATTCATTTGCATTGACTTCGGTCAATGTTTTGAGCAAACAGACCCAATCCATATTTTGACGATACCTGTGGATCTGTATCAGGATTTGGGACTTGGGCATATGTCTGGAATCGAATTCGAATGTTCCTAACCCGAATTATCGCATTCTCTTGAAAATTTGAAGTTTAAGGGTTTAGAGAATTTATAAATTTGATCGATGTTTGACTTTTTTGATACCGGGTTCGGATTTTGGTTCCGAAATTTGGTATAGGTCCATTTCTATATTTATGATTTGCCAGCAAAATTTGGTGCAAAACGGAAGCGATTTGACGTGATTCGGACGTTCGGTTGAAAATTTTCAAGTTCTTAAGTTTTGTTGAAAATTTCATTTGTTTTGGGGCCCGTTTTGTAGTTCTAGATGTTATTTTGATATTTTGGTCGCGCGAGCGAGTTTGTATAATATTTTTGGACTGATGTGCATCTTTGGTTTGGAGCCCAGAGGGTTCGGGTGCGTTTCGGATAGCCTATAGACTATTTGAAATTTGAAAATTCTGGTTTCCTTTAGCTGCTGCTGTCACCTGGTATTTCCTTATGCGCAATCGCGAAGGAACTCACGCGATCACGAAGAGTGATCTGGGCTGGGGAGAGAAATAAGACTGCGTTAACGCAAGGCATAGGACGCAAACATGGAGCAGTGGGAGAACTGCCCTCTGCGAACATGTCCAAACCAACGCGAATGCGTAGCTTTGTTACCAATTATTACTGTACTCTATGTGTTAGAGCACTTGGGCTGTTATATATGCTAGAAATCATGCTTAGTCTATGTTTTCTTAGACTGGCCCCATAGTATGGAACTGCCCCCATAGTCTGGTAATTTTCTTAATTCTTTTGGTCATTTTTACTGTTTTTGTTACCAATTCTATACGTTTTTACTGTGTTTTTTAGTTCTTGGCAAAAAGGTTCTTAATTCATGTTGTAGTCTTTTGGGTTCTATGTTTAATTTATGTTGTAGTCTTGTGTTTTTAGTTCTGTGTTTAAAAGCGATTTAATGAGGTGAGAATATATTTTAATTAACCATGGTTAAATGCTAGAAGTTTATGAACAATCATATGTCATGTATCTATTGAATTAGTGCATGTTGTCGTATAAGTATTCAAAAATGTTGTACACGAAAAAAAGCATCGCTGACGACTTAACTTTAAGTGGTGTCATATAGGCGCCACAAACAGCTCATAAGGTTGCCACAAATCCCAGCGTTTAAGCAACTCTTGATGAAAATCGGTTGACTTCTTACACTTTCTCTCTTTGCGCAACTATGTATCATGAATCTGCCCATATCCCTATTGAGTTAGATTTTGCTTGTGAATAGCCATTCAGTAAAAGCTATAGAATTTTGGGTTCTGTATTTCTTGTGATTATGATCAAGATCCGTGTGTTTGGAATCCATGGATAAGAAAGTTTGAAAATATTCCCTCTTTAGGAATTGATGTACGCGATAGAATTGCCTCTGTTGAAACCTTACTGGCTGCTTGCCTCAAGCACAAAGATAATACATACTCTTCCCCTTAGTAATTTGTAGGTAAATGCACCAAACAATTGTTATTAGTACTTAATACATTACACCATCCTTCCATAAATGGTTTCTTCTTTGATCCCAAAAATCATCAGAAATAAGTACTACACTTTCTTAGGAATATCAGAACATCCACAAAGTATGAAAAGATTGTACAATAGTAATCTAGTGGTTGACAGCACAATAGGAGAAGAAAGTAGAATCCAATTCAATTCTGGAGAACAAGATGTGTACCATCTATGGTGACTGATAAATATTACTAGTCAAACTATCAAAAACTAATGACGACTCGTAAGCTCTCAGTTGGGATTTTTCTTCCAACAAGAGCTGGGTCTAGGAAACTCACCTCAACGTGATGACAAAAGATTTATTCGCAAATGATGAAGATTGCTTTCTAATGCAAAATCCACAGGCAAAGGAAGTTGGAAATTTTAAAAGACTACTCAAGAAAATTACATGACTCTCAAGCACTCTACATTCCAATCACGGGAAATTGTAAAAATGAAACAGATTCTCCATCCACAAATTGGGAGCAAACAATAGGAACATTGTGAACGAGCTCTCATAGTTTCATAATTTGCAATTATGATGCTAATCATTCCTTGAAATTGTAGAAAAAATTCATGAAAAAAAGGGTAATGCAAACAATGCCAAAAATNATCATTCCTTGAAATTGTAGAAAAAATTCATGAAAAAAAGGGTAATGCAAACAATGCCGAAAACGTCTGAGCTAACAATGCAGCAGAAAGGGCAATTAATAGACTGTTTCAGCTTGTTAATTCAAACAAGACCATGTTCTTGTTCCATGAGAGCTCACAATTCCTTACCCCTTAAGAGTATTTTCACTTCAACAAATGAGATAGTTTTAAATTTAGGCCAAACAATAGATAGAATTGCAACTAAATTAGCAATTTCATCGGTTAGTAGTAAGTTAGGAGCTTTAAAAGAAACTGTTTTTTCTTGTGTAATCTTCTCTGAAACAAAAAAGTGTGGGAAAAAATGTTTTCCTTGACTTCAATTTTCTGAAGATATATATTTTCTAACTACTTACTTGACATTCACAAGGAACTTAATGATTTTTATTGTTTAAACATGACTCTACACATTCTTTGAAAAGTATAATAACTTAATCACATCTTTCCTATTCATATTGTAAGAGATGATTTTTAAGAAGTTAACTTTTAAAGGTCTTAAATTGCTTTAGAGTTTGTGACTTTCTGAGTTTCACCCTTAAAAGCAGTAGTCAATGTCAAATTAATATGCTTTTGATTTATTTGGTTAGTTTTGTTGATTTACTTTTATCGTATAAGATGTCTATGGATAATGGTGATAAAAGTTGGATGAATCTCCTAAGATGGACGGATGAGTATATCCGTGGATTATATCCTAACATGTTAAGGTTCAGTGCACATTCACCTGTAGAAGCTTCTTCTGCACAACAAGTTGTTGTTCAACTAAACAGTTGATCATCTGCTCGTAGTAACAATCAATGTCAATATGTACCAAGTGGATATGTTAATATCTTTTTTTCTTCTTTGGTTTTTGTTTTAATGCTTCAGAAATTAATTAGTAATTTCTGAAATCACAATTTTACTTCTTTTCGACATTTTGGATTATCTAATTAAAGAATAAAATTGTTAGCGTGCAAGAGAAGCAGAACTGACCTTTCTGTAGGAGTGCATCAATGAGCTTAGTCTAGTGCTCAATTCCGGCCATATTAACATCTTCAAATATTCCTTCTGAATTAAAAAAAAAAAAAAAGATTCTCATCTCGTAATGAAAATTAGGAGTTTATTTGTTTAAGATGAAGGAAAGAGAGCAGTGACAGTTATAACTTACTAGGTAGAATTTTTGCCCATAAGATAGAGAAACGGAAGTTATTCACACCCATATTTGCCATGAGTTTGACGTCCTCATGTTTACATTTTAATAGTACCAAACAGATCAGAACTCTTCCATTTCATGATTTAGGGTGTGTTTGGTACGAAGGAAAATATTTTTTGAAAAATCTTATCTAATTTTCTCATATTTGATTATCTTAAAT